AAAAACATTTTGAAAAAACCTGTTAGAACAATAGAAATATACAGAGGAGACGCACACACGACCACCGCCGACTACGGCGACGCTCATGAATTTGTCCAGCGTGTCAAATTCGCACAATACAAACATTCACACAAACACACACACACACACACACACGGCTGCAGAAATACATATTTACTTACATGCATTTGCTCGACGCACTAAATTGACTTATCAAAAGTAATTATTCACGCCTCAAACACCCCCAGCTAAGTGTGCCGGCCATGGCACCTCACATCATCACACCCTCTCGCTCTCCCTCTCTCTCTCTCTCTCATGCAGCGAGTCTGCTACATTGCACTTAATTTTCATGTCTTCATATTCAAGGCTGCTTGAGTTGAGACCGTACGTGTGCCAGGACATTCGATACGCTTTGTATGTGCGTGCGCCCCCTCAACAACACTTTGTTGTTGTTGCTGCTGCTTGTAGCATCCAGCAGCGTGCACATTTTTCCACTTTTCCAACAAAACTTTTGTTTATGCTAAACGTTTTACTAAATGGAAATAAGGAGTTTGGCTATGGGCTCCCGGTTCGGTGTACCCTCAGTCAGTCAGTTCGTGCCCCCGCTGTTAGTGATGACCTTACGGCGTTGCAGCGTTCTTGGCGTAGTGGCGGAGGCAACGCGTGGTTTACCTTTGAATTTATACAAGTTATGGCAGTGCGTGTGTGTGAGTGCGTATGTGTGTGTGCACTTGTATTCTGTGACTACTAGTACTAATACTGGAAGATACATTGGTGGAGTGCTGAAAGTAGAGATGCAGAGCCCAGCATATGACTACGTACGCTCGTTAATGAGATGTTTTTGCGCCTCGGTCACCTGGCGCGTTATGTCCTCGAATTAACTGCCAAAAGTCAGCCGAAAATACAAAAAAATACGTGTTACAACAGTAACAACAACAACACCGACCGAGTAATAGCAATAAACTGTGGGACAACATGTGGCGACGTTGTTGTGTTTTCGGTGCAGCCTCGCTGGCTTGTCGGCTTACTGGCTTACACCATGGGTAGCCGCAGAATGTGCTACTTTACGCCGAACGGCAATGGAAAGTCGGAACGCTGCACCTCATTCGCGCCTCTGCAAACTTGTAAATATCTGGGGTGTTGGCAATAAATGAAATCATCAATACTCGCGGGTTAAAGTTCAAAAACCCTATTCCTGCCATTTTCGCCTGTTTTTTCTGTGCGAAAATGTAAATAAGAATCCTAAATTTGGTCCAAAGACTGCAATAGCATGTCACACCGTGTCTTTTTTCATTTGAAGTCTCTACGACGCAGCGTGTGCTTATGCATCCCATGGCGCTCGGTGCAAGCGTTTCGCATGGCAGAGTCCACGCTCTCAGTTGCTGTTCAGGACAGTGACGTAGTGCGCTCGTGCGAACGAGATTACCTGCTGCGCGTTCTGAAACCTTTTGCACGCGCACCCTGACTTATTTTGAATATTATTGTTGTTGTTGTTATCGTCATGTAGTGAAGGTAGTGTCCACTAGAATGTTCAATTTTTTAGGTAGATAAAAAATATGCTTGGCACTCGTTACATGGAGTACCAGGTAAGAAAGGCAGAAATTTTCCACCAATCCGAACTCACACAAGACCCATGAGTCGCGTGTTTCTAATTTTTGTATGAAATTATTTTGAGCCGCCACAAACAGCGATTTTAGACCGAGATCCCTCTCCACTTTGTTGTTACAGTTTTTACAAACCGACTTCGAACGGCTGATGGATTTTGATAAAATGTCACTTCATGTCAGATATACTTGAACCATCTATTTCTTGAAGAGTGGAGAGTTCTTTATTTGATCAATTCCCTGATTACCGAGTTAGGGTGGGTTGGGGTACTATAGAAGCTCTAGGAGGATACTATATTTATCTTCCAGAAACCGCTGGGTATTCTTGTTGTTCAAAAGAGCAAACTAAAGGTCTTATCTCTTATAATGTCTGCTGTCCGGCTTCATAAATAATTAGATCAGAAATCTTCAAAGCTTATATCTACGAATTTCTTTTCATCTTTTTTGTAAGCGTTGGGTTTCATTTCCGACAGAACATTTTCTGAGTTCAAACTTCTTATTCTTTATTCGCGCTGACAAGCTAGCGTAGGTAACCGTCTTGCGCCGATTGGCGATACTAAATGAAGCCAAGTTCTTCCCAACTAGATCTTTACAATGGTATAAAAGTCTTCATATATTTTTGGTTCGAGAAATTTCAGTCATTTGCACAACATGATCTAGGCAGCGTAACCGTTGCCTCTTAATTCTCTGGAACATGCTGTCATAAATGATATCTCGTTCAGTACACTATTTTGTTGTCTGCGGTATACTCGTACTTGCGGAAAACCTTTTTCTCTAAGAGTTGTAGAGCCGACTCACCGGATAATATCATCGTTCACGAAAAATTCAATGAAAAATCAAAATAAGCATGAGATGAGAGACCCCCTTTTGATGAAGACCCCGCAAATATTTAAAGGATTATCATTTGCATGCACCTAGAATGTACGGTCCCTTAATTGGGATGGTGCCGCTACCCAGCTGGTTGATGCACTCATAAAGTTGAAGGCTGACATCACCACCGTCCAAAAGATGCAATGGACGGGATAAGGACGGAATAAGCTGCTCATTGTAATATTTACTACAGCGGATTTGTGGAGGGAGGCTCCAATGCCGAGTACTGGCATTCACTCCGTCTCGCCACAACCAAATCAAAATGAAATTTGGGAAAACGTAACTAAGTGTAGTGCAAGCCCAAAAAGTTTGAAATATCTCTTTAGTCATTAATCGTATTATTCATTCGAGAGAGAGATAGACAGCAAGAGAGAGAGGGAGTGAGAGAAAGAGAGAGAGAGGGGGAAGGGGAGAAAAATGCGGAGTATTGTATAAAATCAGATTAGGATGTTGCCTGTTACTTACAGAGATGGCTTAGTAGCGAAAACTAATGCTCTGAAGACAACTTATTCAGCTTTTTGCTTTAATTATTTTTTCCTATATAAGCTTCGGATAGTGGAGTTGGTAATCGAAGACGAAGTCACTTTTATTCTTAAAGAAGAACTCCTGAGTACACTCTGCCACTGGCCGCAGAGGCACCTAATTTCAGAGCCTGATTCAACTGGACTGACCTCATCTGTGTTGAGCTCATCATGTTTTATACTGCATTCATGAAAGAAAACCTTTTAGAGTGTTACAAGTTCTACGTTAGCTAATAAGAAAACTATATAAGTGTGTTCAAAATCCAAACCTATTCACATTGCGAAGCTATGGCAGGCCACATAGAAACCACACCAATGAGAAAGTCAACAACGGCTCGAACGAGATTCAACACTTTTTACTATACACGATTCAAAGGCATACATCTGGAATGTCCAATCTCGTAATTTTTATTCTTATGTTGACATCACCACTGCATTAGATTTGCGTTGGGCGTGGAAAAGACGAAGATGAGCAAGTCCTTGCCACATGTACGGTCTAAGAATTCTCTTTTTATTAGCAAACTGCTTCTGTACAGGTGGGCATCGTATTATATTGGTGGAAATTATACATGCAAAGTACTTCCCAGTTGCAGATCGGAGGACCTGCCAAATTAAAACATTCATTTTTGGCGGGAGCTCAGAGAGGCCATTAACCGATTGGAGCATACGCAGCTCGATAGTAGGAATATTCCAGCAAATTCTGCTCGACCTAAAACCAACAGCGCAAGCATAGACTTTTCTAATATTTTATTCAGCCCATTCGAACTTAATTAAATATCTCACTACAATCATCCGTTGGGGCATGAGTCTCCAGCTACTGCTCAAATCTCATTTAATTTAACTCTGATAAATTGTTTTTCCCAATTCAGAAGTGGAATTAATTACTAAATAACAAAAAGTGAAAGAAATAAAATAAAATCGGTAAACCCGAAATTGACATTTCTGTTGGCCAAAATCCAATTCGAAATCAATTTGCTGTCTCAAAAGTGCGCTGGAAAGAGTCGGTTTAAAAAGGCTGTGGACGCAGGAGACGGACAAAACAGGCGCCACATACCAAACGGGACAAACCGGAAGCACAGGATATTAACACATGTTCACAAGTGAAGTTAATTGATTTAGTACAAAATGAGCCACACACACTAACAACACCACCGACTGGACTCCATCAACTACGAACTCAACTACCACAAACATGCACACAGCCATGCATTGGCGCCCGCATCTTCTTTTGGCTGCTTCACTACTACACTGCTGGCGGGTGGATAAAGGTAGGTTGAGGTGCGGGTGTGGGTGCGGGTGCGGGCGAGCTGCAGCGCGACTACACAAAATGAGTGGGCGTGGAAATGACCAGCGGCTAAAAAGGTGCACACCCCGAAAGAAATGCCGCATACGTGTGCATCTGACTATACGAGTATGTGTGCACATTTATTTTATATGGAATTTAACATGGTTCCTTGGAGCAACATAAAAACTCAATTAGACTCGTTACACGCCCAATTATGTTGGCTTGCTTGCTGTGGCGCTGACTGGGGTGGGGGAGTCTGCTCTTATTTCGGCCATTCACAGGGTCATCGTCGTCGTCGTCGCTACCACAGTTAGTTGGCAAGTTTGGTAGACCAAAGGTCACCACCGGTTGACTCTACCTGCCAACATTCGCATATGGGTCTGTATGAAATTGCGGAAATGCTTTGATAATTCAAAGATAGTTGAATTGCTGTTGTTGTTATTATTATGTGTCCCATCATTGCCGAGAGGCAAATACTCAAATATGTATGTATGTGCATTTCACTGAGCTCATCTGATGTCCTTGCGAGTGCCAGCCAAATGCTCCTTAATTATATTGCTGCAGTTTTAATTGCTGTTTTTGTTGTTGTTGTTTTCATGTTTTTTCATGTTCTTCTTTGGCGCAATGCCAACAAAATATGGCCACATTAGCACCCCCATATTTTTGGCCGAAAAAGTGGCTTGTTAGTTATTTATTTGTGTGCTGGCCTCAAACCCCATTTCAAACGCTCAACTCGCTCACCTTTCCCATCAGAAAGTGGCCATACTGTGTGCTTGTTTCATAGACCAAATTAGATATGTTGCGGATGCAGATTGAAGTCGAAATCGAGGATTTCTCATCCCTAGTATCGGAGGCTGATTCTATTGCGTCCGAACCGTGGATGATATTGCGGCTGCCTAGCATACAGAAATCCCCACAAATCCACCGGACAAGGAATTGGTGGCACCCAACATCTGGCGACCGGTCTTTACAACATTCAAACCCTTCCAAACCATGGGAACCGAGAAAGATGAGACAGGCAGATAAATCAGCATAGTGCTTCTTCAAAAGATCTTTTGGTGCCCATGTAAATTTCATATCAACCAACTTGAAGCCCTTCTGCTCGAAACACACGTTGAGCTTATCGACGAGTCTACGTTGGACTCCAACGAGAACAACAAAGAGAATAATGCGGAGGTGTCCGGAGAAAAACGAGTTGCATTATCATGCTCCGAGCTGTTGCAACAGTATGTTAAATACAGTCAGCAGAAGTTACGTGAGATAACTTCAGAACAGAGCTGGGTCCAGCCTCCGAGACGAAGTTAGAGTTCGCACCTTTTTCGCATTAAAATCCTGCAGCTGTCTGTCTGTTTGAAGGTAAAGGCGCTTTTTCGTGGTTAAAATCATAAATGGTGTGTTCCCAGGGATATGCGCGAGTGAGCTGGAGTCAATGGCGTAATCTTAACCTCAAAACCAGACTCGTCTTGAGGTGCCGAGGAACTTTTCGATAAGAAACAGTATATTATATACCTTTATAGCTTTATACCCCGGAAGCAAGTCTCTGGGGTCGGCGTGGGAAGCGCACTATAAGGCCGAAAGCCGGTTTTGCCATAGCCAATTGTTTTCGAAAACGAACTCGAGAGTGGAAAGTTTCGGTTCTTCGGGACTAAGGTCGACAAATCTTTGTAACTAAGCATTACCAGGAGAGTATTCAATGTCCGAAAAACCTTCAGTTAGCTTATCTGGGAGTGAGTGGGAATCCTAATCGGAGCTCCTTGAAAGCAAATTTGATGCCTTGCATATACAAGAAGGTAAGGGTCTGAAGTCGGTATCGAATTGGATAGCCGTTGCAACTCCGTTCGTATAAGCAAAACAACTTTTGGCAATCACCAGTAGTCCAGCCAATGTCCTTCGTCAAAGAAATCACGGGTATTTATATTATATATACTCGTAGGCGTGTGTGTGTGTACACGTGTGTTATGTAAGCGGAAAAGTTTCGACAAAACATTTAACAACTCGAGAGTTCAAACGAGCACTTGAGCTGCAAAAAACTAAAAAAAATTAAGTGAAATGAGACACAAGTACATGATCGCATGTACACACACACATACATATAACACATCCTTTCATATGCAGCCACAGTTCTTGTGTTGAATATGAATTTTTTTTCTAGGCAAATTCCTTGCATTTCCATGTCGTCCGGGAGCTGTCGTACAACTTTACTCTGTATTATGTACCGATATGTATGTATATGTATGAGAATGTATATGTATGTGTATGTGTATGTTCAGTTTCGTTGAGTAATTTTGAACATTTCAGAAATCGGATTTTAATCGCTATATAAATGACAGACGCCGAAGCAGAGTTTTTGTTGCTGCTGCAACTGAGAAAAAGTTGCCAAAAGTTCTCTACCATTATTTGAGTGTATATGTATGCATGTACATACGTGTATGTACACGAGTGTGCCCTTAAAAATTTTAGTTTTTGAGCGCCGTTGCTTACACACATCGTTCCATCGTCCTTTTGTATTCATTCACCCACACCTGTGCCCAGATTTTTATTACCCTCAACACATGTCCACTTGTCTGCTATGTGGCAAATCACTGTGGCAAATAATGGTTCATACCTTTGGGAAACTTTGTTATAAACATGGAGGGCACGGGTAAAGGGTTCCATGAAGAAATGCTAGGCCAAGTTGAAACGAGCTTTTAAAGATGCCGGATGTTGGAGAGAGAGAGAGAGAGAGAGAGTGCAATAAGCATTTATTAATTGGCTTCTCCGACAGATACTATGATTTTGAATTCTTTTATTTGAAATTTGTCTGGACACTGTAGCTAAGAATATCTTACAGAGATACCAAAATTCTAAGGACTCAGTAGAATTGAGATGGTGTCAACGGTACTTCCACATACATAAGATCTGTCTGAGTCTATTTTCAGGTAGTCTGTGTTACTGTTTTTAAAGAAGAAGCGGATGGTGCACCTTTTGAAAATCGTGGTTCGTGTTTAACGGCTAAAGACATAAGCTTGCTAGTAAGACTCACGTGAAATCATATTCTATATACATATATTAAGTGCTAAATCTCGGTGCTCGAGCTTCGCTTGAGCCGTAATATTTTTTTTACATTATTCTGTGATTGTTGGTCTGATCTCAACGGAATCACTACCGACCCACAGTTTTCAGCGAGCAAGAGAGCCAGAGTTGTGCTGGCTAACTATTGATGCCAGAGCTTCGGAAATTACGCTCTCTTTATAACAGATTTATAACTTCTGTATTTTGAGGAGTCTCCCAATAGAAAAATCTGAGATCGTAGATATCGGATAATGTTAACAATTAAGATTCTTAACTGCACCGGCGTGTACATATAACACCATGACGTTGGACCTCCTTCAATCACCAAAGAAGAAGATCGCACAAGGATATGCACCAGGTATCCGTAGAATACTTTTTTTGATTTCGTATCATCCACAGAGGAAGAGGAACTGGACAAAATAGTAATAATCGTCGTCAGAGTCTCACACGAGCTCGATTTCAAAATGTTTTCCTTTCTAGATGGCTACTGTGTGAAAGACTAAGGACCGGCAACAAACTGATTGGACCTTATCAGTGTGGCTTTAGACCTGGTAAGTCAAGCATTGACAAAATATTCACCATGCGCTAAGTCTTGGAAAGGACCCATGAAATGAGGATCGACACCCAGGACCACTTCGTCGATCTTAAAACCGCCTTCGACTGCACGAATAGGAGCTGCCTTACGTTGCAATGTTTGAATTACTTATACGAATATGTAAAACTGAGGTTAAGCAACACTGAAGGCTGCGTCAGTATCGGGAAGGATCTCTCCGAGCCGTTCGACACCAAACGAGGTTTCAGACACGGTGAACCCTTATCGTGTGACTTTCTTTAACTTATTGCTGGAGAAAATATACGAATTGCGTAGCTGAATACAGAAGGTGCAATCTTCTATAAGGGTATACGCCAGCCATGATTTTGACGTTATAGACCTCAAAAACCGCGTGCTGAGTTCAGCTTTCTTCAGACTGGATAAGGGACGAAGGATATGGGTCTGGTAGGGAATGAGAGTAAAACGAAATACCTCCTGTCAACACACAAATAGTCATCGCATTGGCAACAAGGCTTCCAAGTCACTGTTGACAGTCATAACTTCGTTGATAATTTCGTCTAACTAAGGACCAGTATTCAACACCAATAACAATGTCAGACTTTAAATCCAGCGCAGAATTACTCTTGCTAACAGGTGCTACTTTGGACTGAGTACGCAATTAAAAAGTAAAGTCCTTTCACGACGAACGAAAACCAAACTCTACAAGTTCTTATTCGGCCCGATGAGCTGTACAAGTTATACGGCGATATTGCCATAGTTCGGCGAATCAAGAAGCAGCGTTGGCTAGGTAATGTAGTACGGATAAATATAAGATTTTAGCTTTAGAGCCCATTGTTGAAATGACGTTATGATCACTTTAAGAAATCGGAGTTTATATTTATCTTATAGCCTTCGGTTCAAGGTCCGCAAAACGATTGCTGTTGTCAAAGCAAGAGGAGATTTTGTTGTGCGCTTTCTTTCCTCAAGAACACTTACTTACTTATAAGTTACAATGTCAAAGGTTCGAGCCATACCTGGATCAGCAACTCACATCTCTGCAAGTGATTTCAGCCCCTCCAAGAATATTTCTGGCATGAAAGCAGAGTTCTTAGATAAAAGTATGTCAGCTGTTTGGAGGCGAGTTACTATTGGGGATCTGTAAATTTGAAGATAAAACTATCAAGATGTACATACCTAGCAAGTGGAAGGAAGAACAGGGCTGAAAACCTAGTTAAAGAGTCGAGCTGAGGTTTCTAAGCGCGACGCCTGATCACAGAGCCGGGATGCTCGTTTGCTCGTTTTAGTTTAAATCCGAGCGGTTGTTGGTTGTTGGACGTGCATTAACTTACTCACATGGTCTTATTCATAGGGTGGAGATTTTCTAGCGCATTCCAGCCCCTACCACAAAGAATAAGAGCTAAGAACCAAATAACAAAGAGGAATGAAATAATAAATACCTTAAACATTTAAATAAAAACTAAATTTTAACTGTAAACCTGACAATAGTTGTAATAAACAAAGTCGGGAGAAAAACTAAATCAAACACGAAAAAACTAAACAAGTTCCCTCTCTTAACTGCCACCCAACAACCCATAAAGCTTAGGTATTTATGCCACTAATAAATTCCACACTTAATGGAGTAGTCCATGCAGCAATGCCGCCGACTCGACATGCTGGTCGTGGTAGAGACTCACTTAGCTACCGTGGGTAGCCATCCACCTGCACATCCACCCGACACCTCTAAATAGTAGCTTTCAAGAGCCAAAGCCAACCAAAGCGAACTCAAACCAATTGAACCGCACTGGAGAACTCAACCGAACTGAACTGAACTGCCAAAGCGTTGAACATTTTTCACTCGTTGTGGCCCAATAAATATTATGCCTCGGTACACACACACACACTCATACATATATTGTACACGCCAGGACGCTGGCCAAGCCAACTACCACAACAAGAACAGTAACAACTAAAATAGAAAAACTTAAAGAATTGCGCAGTCAGCCAGTCAGCTTGTCGGTCGATAGGTCCGTCTATCGGTCGGATGGTAGCAATAAAAAGTGGCAACAAATGGGAATGTGAAAAAATAGAAAAGTTCATACTAGGCACGGCACCACACGGTGGCCTAGTAGCGAAGGAGTGGAGATGGCGGCCAAACGGTTACGCTAGTTGGCGCACACGGAGTTCATAAAGTCGCCAGCGGCACGGGTGGGAGGCGACAAGCACTGTGTTGCTAATGGCGAGTGGATCTGGGCAGGCTGGTACTTTATGTGGGCGCTTTTCTTGTTGTTGTTTTTGTTGTTAGTAATGGTGATGGTCGGTTGGCCGCTGGAGTGGCCCAAACAAGTTGGGCTTTTTATGGCCACAGGCGTTATTTATATGCAGGCATTTGGCGACACTGTACAGCCAGCGGGTGGATGTGAGCGATTGGTGTGCCACATCACCCTTTTAACTAGCGCTGCTTGTTTTTTTTTTTTCAATTTTACCTTCCACATTTTTTATTACACTCCTCCATGGCCGGCTTGATGTGCGACCACCTAATACTCAGCTGCCATTCAGTTG